GGAATTAATTTTAGTTGCAGACCCCTAACTTTAAATTTTTTTTTTTTTTTTTTTTTTTTTTTTTTAGTGGTGCACTGGAAGCTTATGTTCAATCAGTAAGAACAAGAGAGGGAAAGGAGTTTGCACCAGTCTATCCTATAATGGTTCAGCTGCTGCAGAAAGCCATGTCAACCCTTCAGTGAACGTATCTGGACTACTCTCTCAAAACAGGGAACAGTCATGGATCTCTGGTGCCACAGATATACTTATGGTTCATGTAAATTATTCCCAAATACTTAAGCTTTACAACGAAATGTATTTACTTCATCCGTGAAACTTCTGTCTTCTTGCTTTGCGTTCACGTCACAGGAACTTATTTATACACAAATACTATAAGGAAATCATACAATTTTTATGTATGTGCTGTAAGTCTACATCTAATAATAATGAATCATTCTTTAGCATTCTTTTTGAATTTAGAAAGGTATAAAATTAGATTATACTCAAATATTACAGCATAATTGCTGAGTATCTCAAATAAGGAAGTAGCTCTTTTCCTGTAAGTATAGTTTTAAACAGCTAGATATATTTTAGCCTTATTCAGAAAATCATACTTTTGAAACGCTAGACTCATCACTTTCCATCTAAAAAAATCACTAATTTTAACACAAGGAAAAATATTTATAAATAACATGATTCTCTATTGCACAGCTATTCGCTTTGAAATAATTTATATTGATCTCAACTCTCTTTTTGCTTAAACTGTAATAAAGCACATCGACTATCCACTCCTGAATTCGGTATTTGAAATTGTTCAGCAGCTTCCTAACTGCAAAGCATCAGAATATACTTCCAGCAGAACGTGCAGGGCTGACTTAATGATTCGTCTTCTTTATTTTATAAAATACACAACACCAAATTTTAATGAATTTATTTGAAATAATATACAAGAATATAGTGTGCAAAAATCTTAGGGGCAACATCATGTAGACATGTGTCATAAACTGAAATTTACAGTTGTGATTCTTAAAAAAAAAACCACACAGCTGTTTAGTACATGAAAAGCCATGATTGTAAAAGTTCACAGCAGAAGCAAGTGTAATCCTAATGCAGCTGCTCTAATTTTAGACAGTCGTAGGAAAAAAAAAGAAGTAAAGTGCAAGTGTTGCACGTATAGTTAAGTGCAAAGTTTGCCCCCACCATAAAGATGTCTTATGGCAAAATAAAATATTGTAGAATATGTGGCAAAGACAAAACAAGAGTTAAAGCTATGATGGTGACGGTATCAACAGCACCATTTTTCTTGAGATAGCGCTATTTATTCGTTTCATCCTGTCCTGGGCCATTGTTTCCACCAGAAATAACAGCTCTCACTAGTGCCAGCTGGTGCAAAAATATCTCACTTGTGGATACAAATTTTATACCTGGCAACCCAAGAAGCAGCTCCCATGCTACATTACACTATGCTCTCCGTTTACCACATGTTCGGTAACTTGGTGGCATCCGGGCAGGCTGGGAAGCTATAGGCTGATAATACATTTTGCCATTTCAGAAAATCCCAGGCCCCAGAATCGTAATTAATAATATGGTTGTGCAATACATATTAATTAGCAATAAGAATCAATGTATATAAACAGCTGTTACATATTTTAAAATTCCCCTTTTTGTACATTTTCTTTTAAAAATAAACATTTATACACGTCTCCTTCGCCTCTTTCTAAAGTACTTTAGCACCACAGGATATCCATTTTCAAGCCTATATTACCTGATACATATATGAAGTTTGGAAGAAAAATAAGGCAATTTGGTTTAAAATGTTGATAGTTTTAGCTTACTTTTCTATTGTAAAAAGCAAATCTGCACTCATATTAGATCATTTCCAACTTGATGGTGCCAGTATTTTATGGTCACACAAAGTCACAACAAATAGTAAGACCTTGCATCTTCTTGCCATCAAGCAACAGCCATTTTGTAAATACAGAGTTAACAGGGAAATCTGGCTTAATGCTGTTGTGAGCCCTGAGAAAAGAGAAGAGAAAACTAGGTTAGCGGTTATCAAGAAAAGGAGAAGTAGACACGATCTTAGTTCTAGCAAACTCTTGTTTAGAAAGCCGCAAGTACTTGTAATCATTGGTCAGTTATTCAGAAGAAAACAAAAGGCCAAAACAGATAATTTTATCCCCTGCTCATCAAAAGACCATCAAGACTTCTTTGTCACAGCCTGGAGTCCACCATCATTACTTGATAAGGTAACCAAGCTGCAAACAAAATTCTTAGTTCACTGTAATAAAACAATTAAAAAAGGTATTTCCTGCTGCAACACTGAGGTAACAGGTTCTACAGATACTGTTACCTTGGCCTGAAGACCCTGAGGACACGAAAGGGTAAGAAAACCATCCTTCTTACTAAGGCCAACCCAACACTATTCCTCTCAGTTACACACAGACACCTCCACCGAGTTCCCTGAAGCTCACAGGTGTACATGTGAAGTGAATGTGATCTCACAATCCAAGACTGCAGTAGTGTAAAAACAGAATAAATAAACAGTATTATCTTAACCCACAAAGAAATTTAACAGAAGCTGTCACTGTGCATTAAAATAGAATACAGTGAACACAAAACCAGCTTGTTTCTAGGAGCTGGGATTTGGTGAAACCTTCTGCAACAAGGGACTGAAAACTCGGCACCAAGTATGTACAGCAATAAGCAGCAACTTAGTGTTGGAGCATTTCCTACTCAGTCTTAGGGCAACCTTGCATATGCTCTTGAGAAAGTAGCCTCATTTACACCTGAAAGGAAAGGGAGTAATTTGAGGATGAAATCTTAAACCTGTGAAGCCCATACCACACCTGATGCTCCTACCCAGGCATAAAATGGCCAATGAAAGGACCTGGCATTCTGCACACCTCAGTGGACCTTTCCTTCCAACCTATTCTTCTAGCTGAACACGCAGGTTGGCAGAATATCCTTTTTTTTTATGTTCTCTTTACATGATGTATTAGTTTGAAAGCCCTTATCTTACCTAATAAATACATCCACCACCTACTAATACACTGCTGCAGACTCTTAAACTGATGGTCTTCTATGACGTGAAAAACGATTTATTTCCCTACAGAAGTGCTATCTATTGTATTTATTTTACAATTAAAACAGTAATAAATGAAAGGCATTAATGAAAGAAAAATTAATTTGCTCCCTCAATAACTTCGTATATGTTGATAAAAATCATGAGTAAAAAAGATAGAAAATGGTAAAGAAAAAGCTTTTACTGAAGAAAAAGGACACTGAATCAGTTACTTCAAACAAAAGGTCACATGCTTGTCCTTTGCATTTCACAAGCACACTCACTTTCAGTCCAACAGAATTCATGAACTCTCATAAAATATTCAGAAACAGACCCTCTCCTGATTTGTCTCTTGCCAACTGTCCAAAAGCAGGTTACACAGTACAGGGGAATAAAATGAAGGTTTGGGCTACCAAGAAAGAAGCAGACAGCAGAGTTTATCCTGAACAAAAACCACTGTAGCTACCCTATGAACAAATTTAACTGCATAAAGAAAAACACCAATTCACAAACATACAGAATTTGTTCGTTTTCGTTTCCAACAGTCAGGATTTAAACGCTTCTGTTCTTCTGCCAAGGCCTTGGCTTCTAGTGTGTACATCCGCCTTTCTTCATTTTTCATTTTCTTCCACCTGTCACCGAGTATCACACTTATGGCTCTGCAAGATAAATGTTTACAGTACGGTCAAGACAGTGTGTTAAGAAATCCCCTTATTTTTTTATCATCTCAGCACTTGAAAGAAGACAAAAGTTAAATGTGGAAATAATACACACAAAAGAAATCAACTACCTTTAAAAAAGATATTTTTTTTAACAATCATGTTTCTGATTATCTTCTCATAATTCTTTTAAACAGTTAAACAGCTGAGACTTCTGTGTTCGCTGAGTATGGGTCAGCGCACATTCCAACATTTCAAAGGGTGTATATTTGAATACACAGCAACTTGCATAAACCAGCAAAATAGAGATGTTAAAAAAAACACCACCAAATGGTAACTCACATTTGTTTTGCTCTACTTTCATACTACAAGATCGTATGACAGATTTGCTGAAAATATGTTCTCTAATAATTAGGGCAATGATCTGAATATGACCTCAGCCAAACAAATATTTGATTAACTGCAAACCTCCATGTCTATTCAATAGATAGTGTGTAGCTTCCTCCACCTTTAACTGGGCAGAACATACTGGTAAGTTCCCGTTCCTATGCAAAAAGAACCATTTGTTCTAACATCATGTCCAGAAGCTGAATGAGTTGCCTTCCTATTCCTTATAAACTTGATGTCTTTTAGACAATATTTCCCCATATTATCATGCCATATTGCTTAACTGCACTCGCAAATGCTGGATCAATATTCCATTAAAGCTTTAACTCCATCCTTTAGCTGAATTAAAATCTCTAAACAACAGCTCTTTTATCAATGACAATTACTAAACTACTGAGTAGGTAAGCTTTGGCTTCAGATTACAGTGATGGAAGTTCTATGAGCAGCTTTAAGAAAAAGGTGTATACAACTAAGTACTTTGCTTTATCATATTAAGAAGTTCCTTGCTGGTAGCAAAGCTATTCATAGACTTTTCTAAAAGAGTCAAGAAGAGCAGAGTGTCATCAACCATTTCCATAGCATTTTGCATACTGCAGTTCTGAAAGCTTTTCTGTGCCGTACCAAAAAAATGGATTTTAATCCTGCAAGGCCATGTAGTACCACTCAGGCTTCCACGAGCTGCAGAGCACTCGGAGAGCACAGCAAGAACTCCACCGGGGCTGCCGTGAAGCCTGCGCTGTCACATGCTCTGGTGACTCCTTAGAGCAAACTCAAGTTGCAACCACATCCCATCAACATCAAATCCATTTGCGCAGCCTATCTCTTTAGCAATGGAATTTCTCATTTTCTATCCAAATTAAGAACAGGTATCTTTGGTCTGTCATCAGAAGTAAACACACTCCAGTTTAATTAGCAGATTTTTCACGTTTTGGCAGTATCCAGAGGCAAATAGCACCAAAAGCCTGTCTGGTTTCGGTCACCAGTTTGTACTGGATCACTCATACCCCCAGGAAAGAACACGGTGACTCAGAGAGTGCAGGTTTGCTGAAAAAGCCATTGCATTTCCAAGTAAAAAGGCACTACAAAACCTTTGTATTTCCAATGCAAAAATATGTATTTTATACCTCCATAGGAAATACTGCACTGAGGCACAGAAAGTGTGTACAGATCTGTATGTTTCAAAAAGCTTGAAAAATCTAACACAGAGACGAAAGCTCCATTTCTCCAAGGAAACAGTTCCATGAATGAACCACTGAGATGGAAAAAAGATGTGTACAGAGAAATTTCCCAATGTAATGGAGACCTAATTCTCCTGATTAGAAAAAAGTAAAAAAACCTGACCCTACTGCATCACTGTCTTAGGTGCCCTTCACTTCATCAGAACTTTGCAGTGCTCTGTACACTGCCTCCGTCGTCTTAAAATGCCGGTAAGATACCTGACAACATTTTAGCAAAAGACTAATGTGCAGGATGCAATCCCTTATAGTGCAGTTAATTCAAAAGAAATTGTCAAACGGTAGTCGAGAATGCCTCAAGTTTACTCAGTAATTATGTTCAGCATCAACAAATGCTGTTAATAGTTCAGGTGATTTTCTTCATCTTTAGAACATACACTACTCAAATTATTCAAGTATTTCTGAACGCACGATCAATTCCAACTACAGTAACAGGGAGAATATCTAGAAAAGAAACAAGTGCTACTCTAACCAAAGTTTCTCAAGTACGCTCTTACGGTCCACAATATTTTTGAGTATCATGTGAACGTTGACTTGTGTTTCCAATGTTTGCAGCTTGCTATCTTGTTGACATGGCTTGAGCTACTTTGTCTCAGAACAGACCGTTTAACTCAGAATACCTCATGTTCTGTCCTTTCGTGTGTGCATAAGAAAAATAAAACAACCATAGCAAACATAAGAACACCAGTGTACAGGAATGGCTACTACACCTAACCAACTGTAAGATCTACTCGGTAATCTGAAAATGACACACGCTTATTTAAAAAACACGAGAGTTGCCTCCAAACAGCTAAATTAATGACTGCCCCAGCAACACTTAAGCAACAGTAGCTGAATGCCTATAAAATCAATTATCGCTAACTTTTATGATTTCTTCTGTAATGTATTTTATGGATGCCAAGAAACTGCATCCAAATGCACTACTGCCTTCCAAATGGGAGAGGGAGCAGTGCACTCTGAAGCTTACTTGTAACTTTGTCATCACTTTCCTTCAAGGTAAACCTGCTCACTGAAATACTGAACTTACTTTTCACATCCATCCAGCTGCAGCTCCAGTTCACAGCATCCCTTTGAAATCAGCATTTTAAATTAAATATATAACCATCATAAACTTTCCTAGTTGACATTCTGTTCGATTTCTCATTGATAGTTGCAATGAATTTGAAGGCAGCAGATCTGCTTCACTGAAATTACTATAAACATTGCAGAACATCACTGCCAGGACACACAAGACTGGCTGAGATTTAAGGATGGGTTATTTCTATGGTAGGATTTTACTTCTCAACACCATGACAGCCTCCTTAGTAGAATGTTGTAAAATAGCCAAAACCCTCTCAAAGCCCTGTCATCTTTACTTTTTATCAGATTTAATGCTAGAATTTTTATGCAACAATGCAATTTTTACAGTAACAGTTTTCATAATGCTATATACATTAAAAAATCTGATCATAAGATCAGTGCATGTTCATGTGTTTTAGTTTATATTTACATATGCCCAATAGGCATAAAACATTAAGATTATTTAAAACATATATAATGGAGATCTTTATGAAAAAATGTTTAGACATAATGTGCATATAGATAAAAACCAAAAGAACAAACCTATAAAGAACCCTCCTCCAAACACATGGTCATATGACTCTTCCTGCAAGTTTCAGCAGATTGTTCAATGCCTTTAGGACAAGCAAAATTTGGCAATGTACTGTTTGGATTAAGATCTTTCAGATATCCTAACAATCAGTACTCCATTATTCAATAGGATACACAGACTGAGAAAAAGTGATAATAACTTCACTGAAGAATTTGCAATATTATGTCAAGACTTAATTAGAAGAACCAGAAATCCCCTTTTTCCATTACAACACACAAGCAAAGAGCTGGGTACTTTTTTCCCCATGAACATTTCTCTCACCAGTGTAAACAAAGACTGTTGTGTATTTGTGACTGCCCATATATATATATGTGTCAGTTGCTTTACCCAAATGCTTTCTCAGAAGGTTAAGTTTGCCAAAAATGGCTTGTGTCAAATTTACTGAGTACTGTAAACACTTGAAGTCTGCCCATAACTTAAGCTTTGTGTCAGCATCTTTCAAAACTTGTTCTTAAAGCAATATACACACATTTTATTTCAAATACAAAATTTTGTCCACTTAAATTTAATTGTGGGACAGAGATACTCTTCTAGCTCACCAGTAATAACAAAACTACAATTTTATACCATTACCTGTTGTCTTTCCCTGGATACATCTGAGTATATTCAACTCTGTATTTTTTGGCAAAAAGCATGAAGGCATTCATTGGTCTTTTGCACTTGTTTGGAGAAGTGGCACTCACAGTACTTGCAGTCCCTGAGCTGTGGCTTTTGCCAGCTTTGCTGTACAAAGAATTGGAGGAAAGATGTGGCGATGCAGTAGACGCACAGTTTTTACTACTGCATTCTGATCTCTCAGCATCTTGATTGTTTGAACCTCCACAAGATAGAGAAGCGCGACGCTGCCGAGCCATGCTGCTTAGCACATAAACTGCAGAGGAATCCATTGGTGTAAAATCATAACTACAAGAAAAAGACATATCATAAAATGATCAAGTAATTTTAATGTAAAATCCCTAAACAGCTGTTCACTCTTCATCTGCACTACATGTCTAGTAGTCTGGTCTCCTTTGTGTGACATAATGATTTCTGCTTGATGCAGATGTCAGTGTGAAAAACAAAACAAAACAAATTTTGGCAGATGAATTAATAGTTTTTTCAACGTGATGGCAGACTGCAACTTTGCAAGATCTGCTGTGTACTATCAACCTCCCAACCGTATATCAATTAATTATACACTGTCTTCAAATTTCATCCTGTTTTGAAATAAGTTTCTTTCTTTCTGCTTCTGTCCTTATCATAAATCAAATCTAGTCAGTGAATGATAGGTACTGCAAGGACAACTGATGTGGGAAGAGAAAGCATTGAGTTCACTTGCAAATATATATTAATTACAAATATGAAACCACTATATTAAAATAAATTATATTGTATACACTATTGTACAAATAACTTCTCTAGGCAGTTAAATACATATTATTTTACGGACAAACCTTCCACTGAGATTAAAAAATTGTTTAAAGACCCATGGTGTTGCATACTATTTGATTCAAAGCTGACAAACGTCTGCCCTCTAGTGACAAAAATGTGAGATTCCTCGGTATTTCAAGGTATTTCAACAGCTTAAGATGAGTTGTTTCCATACAATTTAGACCTGAAAATACCATAAACTGTTGTAATTTTTTGTTGACCAACAACTACGATTAACCTCTAACCACTACAGAAGTAGTTTAACTCCACAGACTATTTATCGTCTCCAGGTGTGTGCAAATCAGTCTAGGAACCACAGGCTATATATAGTCTTTAGCATGCAATATGGGGAAAACACACTTGTAAAGGTGCTACTCCATCATAAATCTAAAAAACTAAGCTACCACCACAAAATAAACATAAAACGTATATAACTCTAAGGCTCCGCTCACCCACTGCTCAATGGGGCTGTAGTTACATAATTTATGGCAAAAATAAGGGCTTCGAAGAGCTTTTTTCCAAACACAAAGTAGAACTACTATCAATGAAATGCTGCAAGTGGTAGTCCAGCCCCCATCTGCAAAGGCAGCTCCTTTCTGTGGGATGGAACCAAAAGCAAGGGTGGAGCCTGAACACTTGCCTCCCAAATCCCTTAGAAAAGTAAAAAGCAACGAAGAAGGGATAATGCCACCAACATTGCAGACAAGGTCACAAGATATTGAGAAAGTACCTCTCTGTTCTACAAACAGTCCAGCACCCTTCCTATTCCTAATCTCCATCCTATAACACAGCAACAGGATTTTGTTTTTTAATTCTTCTGCCCTGTTAACCACAGCTGCTGCTGCTGCATGCTCGTTTCTCAGTGACTTAATCCCTTCTGCCCAGAAAGAGAGACAAGGTATTTGAAGTGCCCAGGCAGTATGCAGCTGGGCTGCAGGATAAGTAAGGAGCCACAAGTCCAGTTTCTTCAGTGAGATGTAAATATGATTTTAACACCTCTCTACATATGAAGTTCAGAATAGGAGTTAATAAGAAGAAAAAAAACCCAGACAGCAAATGAGTGAAGACAAGCAATTTGAACTCACTGTCTATGCCAGACTGAAATCATACAAGAGCTCCTAGGGCTTCAACTGCAAACAGTATTTTAAATTCATTTTTTTCTATTGTAAAAAAACCCAAAAAGCAACTGGACTAAAAACAGATGCTAAAAAGGAGCTAACATCATAGGAGAAGATGGATTCTACTAAACCTAGGAATCTCAGAATAGTATGGAAAAATCTTTATGAGTAATACTATTTCCTCAGAATCTTAGAATAATTTATGTTGGACAGGACCTCTGAAGATCATCTGGTTGAACCTCTTGCTCAAAGCAAAGCAAACCTCAAAGTCAATCAAACTCGAAGTTAGGCAAATTTGATATATTAGAAAAGAATTACAAAAAGCAGTATATACAAAACCAGTAAGAAATACGAAAGTACTGTATTCTAAAGCCATAACACATGCATTTATTACTAAGAAACTACTCAGATAATTCAGATAGACAGCTGCATACGAAACACAAGTTAATAGCTGGCAGACATACTATTGTGGGAAAACTACTAGGTTTTTCAAACATAACCCGCTTTACCTGAAGAATTTATACAGATAATACATATATTTTTACTGCTTTATCTAATCTGGCTTAAACTATCATAAAAGGGGGCTGGAAAGTTATTTCACTCCAAGGTATTACTTTGCAGATTAGCAGAGCACATAATTACACACCTTTCCTAGTATTCAGGCTTCATTTTTCCCTCTCATTTATCTTGTATTACCAAAAGTATTCTCTCTTTGCTCTACATAATGCTTCAAATTCTTGTAGACGTAAGGTGCCTACTCATTAAATACAAGAACCACTGAGGCCACTTTATCCAAAAATTACCTTTTAAATGTATCAAAAACACCTGAATCATCAAAGTTAATGGCATCAGGGTGTCCAGGAGGTAGACACAGATCTCCAAGATGCATTTCACAGCATGGAATGCCATGCTGTACCACAGTCAAGCTTGGATAAAAAGATGACCAACCTGAAGTGGTAAAGAGTTAAATTAGACAAACGGCCAGACAATCTCTCTAGGTCTTAACTGGAGCAATCCTATATCTCTAAATGATATAATTTTATAAAAATGTTCTGATGTAGTTTCTTTCACCCAAAAGAAAAATCAGAAACACTTACTCAGGGAATTCTTAGTGCAAATAGTTTATTTTTATCTCAAGTAAAATCTTATTCTAGCAAAAAAAGTAATCAAAACCTGGAAACTTTTATCATCAGAAGTTCCATGTATAGCAAGTGAGAAAAGCCTCCCCTATTTGCAGCTTTCCTTTCTCCCCCCCCAGTTTTTCTGCCTTCCTGAGCTCCATTTATATACTTGGTCAAATCTTTCCTTAAGAGATATGCAGTATTTCTGTAGCTTTATAGCTTTACAGTTTTGTTTGTTCAAATTCTGGATTTCTTTACAAAGATAGTAAATTGATTCTACAACACTGCTTTTACCAATTTCTTGAGCAACGTGGAACACCAATAAAATCTGCAACCACTTTCTAAGAACTTTTTAATATACAACCAAGTATACTTGTAGTATTTCATACCTTTATTTTTAACATAAAAAGGATGATCAAGTCTGCATTCTACTGTAAGCAAGCCATCTTCCACTGTGCCAGGATCAAAAGTCAGCTTCAGCACTGACTCACCAAAGGAAATGCTTTCTTCATGAGAAATCAACTTCAAACCATCAGAACCATAGCCCTGTAAACATACATACAGTTCAAAACCTTTCTCCCAAGAAAAGCATATACCAGTGTATACCACAGGTGTATATTCATCATCTTAAATTATATTAAAAAATACCAACATTCTAAGTGATCTCACTAGAAATTAATAAAGATGATGTAACATTTGTAACATCCCTAAATGAATTCAGTTCAATTGCTTTACAGCAAGATACTTAAATGGTACAGTGATCAGCTTTAAACAAGTTTAGTACAAACCTGTCTTCCTGAGACAGTAAAGGTACAGGGATAACAGAAGAAACTAAATACTTGCTACAGGTATTGAAATGAATTTATTAGAACTAACAGCTACCTTGTAAGGACTCACTGGGAGATTCTCCTCTTTTCCACAGCTTTCAGATCTTGCAAAATCTTCGACATCCTGCCATTCTTTATTGCGTCCTTTATGAAAGCACAAACGAGAGCCTAATAGATTTTTTTCAAGAAAAGAAAAAAAAGATTAGTGTTATGTAAAAAAGTTGTTTTTAAAAAAAAAAAAAAAAAAAAAAAAAAAAAAAGACAAACCAAATACTTATTCAATGATACACGTTATTTTACCTTTTAGAAAACAATGCCAAACAGTTGAGGGCCAGGAATGGCACCATCCTAAATCATCATCATCTGAAAGTGACGACATGCAGAAAATGCCAGATTCTGATTCACTATTCGCCTATTAAAAAAACCAAAATGGTGTTGATATTTTACTGCGAAGATTTTAGGGCTGGTCTTACATGTCTTTAGACACATTTCTAATTTGCATCTGTGTCACCACTCTGCCTCAAATACTAATAGGAAATGAACATGAAGAGAAATATTCAAGGAATGCAGTAAATGTGAACAGAGCATTTTCATCTCCTTTTCTTGAAATGTGCCATCTGAAATTTGGGGGTTTCATTCTCTGAGATTCATTTCACACCTATGGATTACCTTATGCTTCAGTACAAGCATTTTACAAGCTCTTGTTCCTTGGTTCCACAGAACCACTCAAAACACATATGGTCAAATTACTAGAAAGCTGTAGGGCCAAGTCAGTTCTAGAGAGATCACTGGGAAAAACTCAATGTCTTTAACAGACAAGTTTCAGACACAAATTAATACACAGGAAAGGGAGAAGCAGGATTGAGAGGTTTTGTGCATCTAGAAGGACATAGTTCCATATTTCGTTTTCGAGACACAAACAAGTTAATGCAATTTTTTAAAGCTTGCTATAGAAGGAACTACAAAAGCAGCAGAGCTTTCTTAGAATGTGATCTCTTCACAAAAATGTGGACTCTGATGTAGCACTACAAGCCTACTGTGTTCGGTAAAAAAAGTAACAGGAAAATCTAGCTTAAATAGAAATTGTATTAGAACTAAACAGATTATTTTTTTAAACTACTTTCTCTTTCCAAAAAGCTTAACCCATTACTCATGCATCTTTATTTATTTTAGAAATGTTTCAGATCAACTCACCCTTTCATGTCTGACTGGTGTTTCATCCACATCATTCTTGGAGAAGTTAGGATCATTCTTTGAGGATCCTGGTGGAGGACGTGCATAGGAATGTAAACTTTTGCTTGTAGCTATTATGTGAACAGGAGATGATCTACAATAGAAAAATATTTAAAAATATCTCAGATTAAGACATCACAAGACTTAGCTGCCATTACTCTACAATGCTTTTATTTAACAAATATTTCTGTTTGCATGAGATGAATACCAAAAACTTTCCACACACCAACATTCAAATGGAATGATTAAAGGGTGCAAGCTCAGGCAAAGGGAGTATTTAGCATAACTCCTTCATAGCTTCTACATACCACCCAAATAACAGTACTACCTCCACATCAGCATCTCCTTGGCACAATGCTGAAGTTTGTACAAGTATCTTGAAGCGAATAACCCATTCTTAAGAGTACATAAAGACATCTGCTTTGTCCTAATGATTAAATCCCAACTGCATTAACAGTACTGCATTTAATTTTCTTATTATAAACCTAAGACCAAAGCCATACAATAAAAGGTGAAGCCCAGAAATTCCTCACATCCCACACTGCTTCTCACAGCCTTATGGAATTTACAGATCACAAATCTGAAACAGTATCAATAAAAAATACTTTGCATTATATTTCCAATTAGCTCTTTTTAAAAAAATCTAAAGTCAGTGCACTAGTAAGTATTAAGAATTTAACGTAACAAATTCATCTTAGTTTTTCATCTGCTCCTTCATATGAGGTAAATGCCCATAATTTCTGAGCCTTCTGTGGTTAGGCAATGTCCTTATACCATGCTACCTCATTCTGGCTGGCAATTAAGCAGCTTTTGCAACAGGCTCCGAAACGAGTCCTGTGCAATGTTCTGCAGAAGAGTGAAGTTACTATATGAAAAGATCAAAAATAGGGCTCCAGTTCAAAGTCAAAAGGCATGAAGATTAAAGGAAATGTTTCTGGAGACATAGTATTACAAATCTTGGAGTTCAAAATCGAAATGAATGTCAGTACCTGTTATAAAAAGAGCACTGCATCAAAGGACTCTGAGGACTTGTGGCTATATTTGCTAATTCTGTCAACCAGTTCACCCCATCCTCACAAGAATAAGCACTTTCTGAATTGCTGTTTGAGGTATGTTGGTTCCATGAGGGCCTTGAACATTCCTGATGTGAAACATCAGCACCCAGCTGAAAAAGTGCAGGTGGGGTAGAATCCGTCTGCACAGCCTGTAGTTCAGGAAGATCATCTACGAACAGAGTCACAAATTACCATGATTATACCCATTGACAAATTCTAGCTGACACCAAATCTTGCAAATAAAAAAGGAACCACAATGAAGCAACTAACTTTATTTTCTCATATCACAACTACCAACATTTCACAAACCCTATTCATCATACTAACAAAATGGCCGCAGAAATAATCACATCTCTAGTCCATTACACATTCAAACAAGCCATTTAAGAAAACCATTAAGTAACTAGATAAAAATGTAGTTCTGGTTTTAAAGTTTTTACTGGACTGACTCATTTACACAGAATTGTACCACAGAATCATGCAAAAGTAGCAACATGCTTCACTGAAATACTAAAACATTCAACAAAGGCAACTAAATTAATCTGTCCTAGCAGGTGTGAGACTAAAAATTATCATCAGGGGCTGGACAAGGTAAAAGTCTTCCATGTTTCCACCAGGGAACTGGAATTAAATAACTCAGAAGTCATGAAAGCTGCCTATACAGCCTGGTAGGGGTGAATTCCTATCAACAATCTACAGATTTGACATTATATAGAATAGCAGAAGAGAGCCCAGCTTATTAACAAAAGTCTGTGTTACATGCCTTTGTGTAACTAAGTATCGTTATTCTTAATCATTCCATGACTGCAACTAAATGTGTTACTATTTCATTGATTATATCAATACTTTCTAAGGTATGTGCTATTTTTCTCCAGTATGTAAGAACTGAAGTTCCTCTAGTCCAGAATCTCTATTTGCAGCTGATCTAAAGCAGCATAATTTCCCTTCAGGAGGAGCTCTTGAGCTTTCTGTTTGTTATTCTTGTGCCAAAAAAAAGCTCCTCTGGAGATCAGGAGCAGTAGCTCTGAGTTCAAGAACACATTTAAGTAAACTGGCCAGTGTGTCAGAACTGGAAATGGGTTAAAGGGTAAGTGCAAAACAAGACCTTCAGATGTCACAATTCACTGTCATATTGCCCTACTTAAGTTAAAAATCAGTAATCCCAGTCAGCTTCCAGTAATTTCACTACAGAAAAACTACAACAAACTTCAGAAATTGGCTGCTTCTGAAAAAGTAATTTACCAAGTTCCATGTGTTCATCACCAGATGCATATCCAGGAGAAGAGGGCAAGTTTTCATTACACTTCAGCAACTCCAGTGACTCATTCATCCCTGAAGTTCTCTTGTCCACTACCAGAAGGAGTTTCTGAACTGCATTAGGCATTTGATTTGTCTTCACTTCCCACACCATGTTAGGATGCTCCAAAGTATCTGACTTTAAAGAGACAAAGGTTAAAAATTTGTACACACGTGAACGGTTTTAAGTTGCATCTGACAGGCTACTTCATTACCAGAACCTAAATCCTCCATAATCTGTTGAGAATCGCAACATAACTTAGCTTGATAGGGACGTCTAGAGATGATCTGGTACAATCCCTGCAGAAAGCAGAGCCAACTCTGAAGTCAGATGAGGCTGACTGGGGCCCTGGCCACTTGAGTTTCTAGTATCTTGAAGGATGGGGATTCCCTGCCACTTCTCAGGAACCTGTTTCAGTGACCACTCTTGCTGTAAGGAAGTTGTTCCTTATGCACACTTTGAACTTCCCTTGCCACAGCACATGCCCATTGCCTCCAAGAATCTGGGGTCATCTCCTCAGCCACCACTCAAGCCAAGGTAAACAACATTCACCTGGTACCCTGAGCCACACATCCCGTCACAAAAGGCCGTCAGACGGGTCAGACAAGATTTGCCTCTGGGTAATCCGTCCTGGCTATTCCCATCACCTTCTTGCCTTCTAAGAGCCCAGACATGGCTGTCAGGAGGATCTGCTCTACAATCTTCCTGAAGCCTAAGGTTAGGCTGACCTGCCTGTACTTTCCCCACATCCTCCTCCTTGAAGCCAGGTGTGACATTTTCTTTTTTCCAGTTATTGCGAGCCCTCCCGCCATCAAATCCCCTGCCTTTTGGAGACCATCCTCACGAGGACGCTGGCCAGCGTCCCCTGACATATCCCACCCAGTCTCACCTACTTGTGCGTGGCTGGCTCACTGAACTGGCCTGCCCCTAACTTCCTCTTCCTCTGACAGAGACAAAGAAGTACCTCGCTCCATCAGACGCGTGTTTCTAGGCCCAGAGCCTTGAAGAACCTGGAAACAAGCCTTGCAAATAAAGACTAAAGCAAAGAGGACATTGTCCTCAGCCTTTTGAGAACAGGTCTCCTACGCCATTTAGCATCAGGCCCGTGTCTTCCCTAGTCACCCTTTCACCACCAGCATATCCGCAGAAGCCATTTTCACTGCCCTTCACATCCCTTGCTATCTCAACTCTAGGTATACTCTCAAACACATTTGACTGCTAACATTAACTATGTTGTAAATTGAAAGAAAAAGAAGCCTCTGCTAGTAGATTTCACTGCAGTGTTATTTCCTCAAATCCCAGTACTGTAACATTTATATAAAACCCCAATATTTTAAATCATCTTCAGCAGTCAGGGAACTGTGTGATTATCCTATGCAACCACTGCCTCTAAAAGCTGGAAAACAAGGTTATCCAGTCTTTAATAATTTGGTTATCTACTGCTTTTTTCACATGATGATGAATTAAAGCTACCATAACACGATCACTTCAATGAAGTGTCACTGAAAAAGTAATCATGAGTCCCTCACAAAAGAGCAGGAAACACAGCTTAGTAAGTAAAAAAATCTGGAAAGTCTACCACATGCATGTCCACTAAGTAAGCTATCATGCACCACATTAGAGAAATACAAACAATAGCTAAAAACGCCAATATTTTCATATGAAACAGTAAGCCTATCACCCTACAAGTTCCCTTCATGTAATGCATAAAAAGCCATCTGATAACAGTTATGAAAAAAAAACCAGCTTTATTTTAATAAACAGTTAAAAGGTATTGTGTGTATACAGCCAAGATTAACAATGCTCCACATTTTTACTCATTCTGTGAATTTGTTTCCTTCCTTTTGCAACTTGTCCTGTACATAACATAGTTCAGACATATCCCTTTGAAATACATACTGGCCCTACCAGAAGAGGCCTGACGTAAGCAGTAAATTTTTTTTACTGGAAAATTTCTAACTCTCTCATCTCCTCACCTTTCAAATACAAACAGAACTTACAAAAACTTGCATTCCAAACATAAAAAGACGTTTGATTCTACTCAGATGGCACTACTACAAAAGCCACAACAGCATGATTCTGATTTTAAGGAGGTGGAGAGGGAAGGTAAGAGAAACGAGAATACACAATCAAATGCACTATCAAGCAATGGTATGTGTATTTCACCTCCAAGAAGCATCTTTAATGCAAATTATTCCTCTATCACCCATGAGGGACAGTAGAATTACAGAACACTACAAGAGCAGAAAACTCAGTCACTTCTGAACAGAAAAATCAGACCTTAGTAGCACAGGTCAGGACCTTGATGATTATCTCCAAGTAAGCAACTCCAGAAAGTCACTCCTTGTTTTTCTAGCTTGTCTACGTCCTTCCTTTTCCCCCTTCTGCCTTGTTTTTCCCTCCATTTTCTTCTCTCTTCCTTTCCCATTTTCCTGCCAAAATGAATGAGCTAACTAATTTTGGGAATGTTACCTTCTCCTTCCTTCCTGCCAGCTGCCAAGATTTGAAAGTACCTGTCCTAGTATCCCAACAGACTGAGGGTCAGAGATAAGGTACAGATACAGCACGCTAGTCTGACAATTAAGATACTAGTTTGAGAAATGAATTGCTCTTCCAAGTCACAAGGATTTCTCTAAACCAAAGCCACCCATGTTCAAAAGCCAAAAGATCCTCTAACAAATGAATTAAAAACAAAAACGTGCCCAACTTTACTTTTCAATTTTTTTATTCTACTTGATTAAAGCCTGCTTTGGACATCATGTGCTTCTCTTGTACTCAGCCTTTCAATGTTTTGGAACATTAAGGGGAATGGCCATTAATTAGCTTGTAAAGATTTTTTTTTTTTTTTAATTCAACTTCACGTTCAAAACTTGTTGCGACAGATGTTTTCTAGAAGTCTGCTTCACAGGGCTATAACTACTACCATTTTCTTTAGAGGCCAAATGAATTTATTTATGAATTTGTGCTTTAAAGTCAGTCAGTTTGTTGTGCTAAATAAAATGGCAATATTAACAAAGAACTTATTAATTAAACCATGTCTCGTTTTGAGGGACAAAAATAAGTTTGGGACAAAAGTAAACAAAGACCGTGGCTGAGAAGGGGTTCAGCGGGAACTGGGCAGCGTCCAGCCAAACCGCACTGTGCAGGAATGCCTGGGTAGAAAAGTGCTCCCCGTGGTTTTCCTCCTGGTATTTGCCTTCTTTCCCCCAACCTACCACTGAAGTCTCAGGCAAGGTCTACGCCTGTAGCAATTCACTGGATGGAGTTTAATATGGAGAACTGCTGCTCCAAGCAAAACACAACATACTGGCCAGACTGGATCTACACCAGGGACTTCCATTTGCACGCCTGCTTTGATCAAGGATCCTACTCCGCTTCCCCGACTCGCACAGCTGTGCCAGAACAGCGCTGCAGAGGCACGGCCTGAGGAGCACAGAACATGATTCACCATGTTTTTGCAGAGACGGCCTTTTAGCATTACGCAGGCCGAGCCGTAGCTCCGACCCGACTCCGTCGG